TGTAGAGAGCTGCAGATCAGAAACATTAAGCAGAACTCTAGAAATTGTTTAAAATTAAAACTGAGAACCCAAGTGACTCATGAGATTGAACAAAGAACACAGGAATTGATGGAACATTTACGTACCTAAACTTAATTTAGTGAGTTTAGAAATTACTTTTCTATGGCAAAAAGATATATATATTAGGCTACAGTCTTAGTCAAGGTTAGAGTTTTGCAATTATTTGCTTTCCCTTGCTTTGAACTGTGAAAGTGCTGTTGAGCTTGTCCCCAAGGAATTCACTTCAGCTGAGCACAAAACTTACAAGCGTATATAATCTGTGTGCTCATGATTTTTGTAGCTCTTGGGGTTGACTAGCTGTCTAATAGGCAGCAGGCATTTCCACAGAACACCTTGTGAAGGATTCAATGACAGCTCACTTGATGAGCATCACAATTTTGACGCTTGTGTGGAGTTTATCTCACTCCTACCTACTAATGATCGACAAGTTAAGCCAAGATGCTGAACATGAATCAATTTAAGGCTGCTGCTGAAGTAATAATATCCTTTACCAACATGATCCACAGTATTTTAAGTGAGGTTTCACATGTACTATAAACAGCATCATGGAAGGACCATTAATAAGCATCTGTGCTATTTTAAAACAACAGGTGGTGAGATCGTTTCACCAAAGTTATGTGCTCACCATATGTGTAAGTGGAAATACTGTAGGAGGTAGAAGGCAAATGAGTGAATAGTTAGCAAATATATATATTATATAATACATATAATTATATGGATATATTAAGATCTATATGATCTCATTAAAGCTGCAGCACATTTCACAGACTAGCTAAAAGCTGCCAAAATAACTTCAATATACCTTTGAATCTTTTGGAATAGTTGCTAGAACAAAAATGTGACAAAAAGAAGCAGCAGTCAGAGTAAGAGAAACTAAGATTGTATGTTGGCATTAGATCTATTTGCCTCTAATATCTGATGAACCATTGGGACATTAGTGCAGAAAGGGATACAAAACTGTGCAGAGACCAGGCAGTTGCCATAAAGGCAGGTTAAATTCCTCATGAGTCCTGTAAAGCCAAAGAACAGCAATGCAGTCAATTTTTAAATTCATTTTAATAAAGGTTAGAAAACAAACTAAATTCTGCTAGAGAGAACTACACCCCAGCTGACATGGAAATTTTTCTACTGCAGCTCTTCCTCATAGTTCATGTTTTATACTTAGTCCAACCAGGGAAGAAGAGCAGAGATACCCGGGAATCCCTTTACAATCACAGAAATATGACCAGCTCAGAAATGCAGCATGTCTTCAGTATTTTAGGGAAGACAAAACCCACTATCATATCTTTTTAGTTCTACCATAAGAATAAAAGGAAAAATAAAAGAAGTGTTTTGATCTGGCATTTGGCTGAGAGATTTGCACCAACTGTCCCATGCGAGTCCATTTTGTGTCACTTTCTCTTCCGATATGATTATCTTTTGAGACTGGGATATATACTAGAAACATACAGTTCTTGTACAATCTGATCCTCTCTTTTATAATGTTGTCTTAATAAAGTAATTTTCTCAGAGTAGGCAATATTAAGAGTCTCTGGAAGCTAGTCTCTCTTTAATGACACATCATGAAAGCAATACATATAAACAGATCCATGCTTTTGCTGCTGTTTACATGCAGTTCCCTTCAAGGGAAAAGCTTCAACCAGCTTTCATTTGCAGGAAGCATACATGAACTCTGCATTTCTATCTCCATATTTCATATTAAACTCAGGGCCTCATTATCCAGGTTGTGAAGTGCTGACTTACTTGAATGTGTGAAATTCAAAATAAGATTATCAATACCTGGTTTGCTGCCACCACTAATATACTATAAATGGATAAAACTCTCAGCTCTCTTTAATGATTGCTACCTTTGCAGTTTAGTGGGCACTCACATTAAGATCCTCTATTGACAGTTAGTCCAACATGGAATCCATCTGCATAGTAGGAGACAAAGTCTCAGTTTGTGCCTGGCATTTATTTTCAGAAATCAATTTTTTTCTCTCCCAGAAACATGAGCTATTGCACATGAAGGACATGCATTTCGAAAGTGTGAATGTATTTCTTCTTCAAAATAAAAATGGTATGTTGAACTACTCTTGATTGTTTGCACATGCTAAAGTTTTAAGTTCATTGTGTAATATCTGTCCCCTTTTACCCTGCTCAAGCCTTTTTAAATAGAATTCTTAAATTGGAAAAAATAATCCAACTGAAAGCCTAGTAACAACATAAGTAAAAAATGACCTGCTTGTTCTGAGACATGGCTATTTCAGTTAGTTCAAACAGCACTCAATAACATCATGTTTTAAATTCTCATAGTAATAGAAAATATATTCAGCTGAAGTGTTTCATCTTAGCCCTTGGAAAGGACCAGAAGTGAAATCAAACCTCTGCAACTTCAAGTGCATTCAAGGTCACTGGGTTTTCCTGTTTGTTCTACTAAGGAAACAAGCCTTTTGCAAACATACCCATCTGGTCCCCACTAATAAAATTGGGTAAATGAACCTGCTGGTTCAAAGGCTGACAGTAGCCTAGAAACCTCAAAGATAATTAAGCTCTTACATATCTGAAGAACAAACCCAGATGAAGTATTCCAAAATAGCAGAACCTCTGAGGAAAAAGACAACTAAATCTCAGCTGCTCCCCAGTCTGTCTGGCACGAACCAGCTGGCCAACTAGGCTGTTCTTCCAGCCAGTGGTGCTGCTGCCCCAGATCAACCGCAATAAAGATGCTCTCCTTTAGCTGGCAGAAGTATGGAAAGTTACAGTAACAGAAGGAGCAAGAGTTCTGGGAAAGAAATCTGTAGGCAGTGGATTTACACCAGTTATGCCACTGAACTATACTCACATTGATAATTAGATGTACTTTTTCTTCTATGGCCACGCACGCATTACACCACCTGCCTTTAGAGTACACAAGATAAAAGCAATTCAAGTTTGCGGCAGGGTTCTTGATCAACCACTGCTTCATCTCTGCTGCCATATTGTTTAAAAATAAAGTTATTTTTTTGAGAATGAGAGTCTTGAGAAATTAGGTTTGCCAGGAAGCATGAAGAGGTAAATTTGCTGTGATAACATTGTGCCAACATTAGTGAGCAGTCATACTACACCGAGCTTGTAACAACTGCCTGGGGGGCCATTATTTGATTTCTTCACTCCGGTGAAGAAACTGACTTTATATAGACTGGATGGGCTAATATGTGAAGCATCTGAACTCAGCTACATGGTTTCTTTTTCCAACTAAATGCAACTAGAGAAGAACACAGCAGCTCTGAAACTGTCAGCCATGCTTAATTCTAGAAAGGAAAAAGCAAGAAATGTCCTAACCAATGCTTCAAAGTTTTTACAGGGACAAAATAAATGTGTGGTCGATGAACGACACAGGTTTGACAAAACTTTGTTGGTTTTTTTCCTACTATATATTGCATGTGCCACGACTTACTTAAAGCCTATACAGGATCATAGTTAATGACCATGCTTTGGAGAAAAGATTTGTCTGTTGGACTGATTTCTGACTCTGCAGTTCATCACTCGCTCTTTGTTTCAGCCTTGTGAAAGCTCAATTGGTTTTTTATACACATTTTCTGTCTCTGTAGCTGTCATTTGCCTTCTGCATACCCAGCAACAGTACAGACTGCATTTACATATCTTCCCAGAAACAATGACAACAAATAAAGCAACTCCCTGTTACGTCCCTAAGGATTAATTGTGTCACTCTAGCACCATGACCAGAGGCTTCAACCACAACCACAACCGCCTGTGCTTCTGTGAACCCTTGGGTAACAGGATCCCCGAAGATGAACATACAGGTAAATAGACATTGAATAAAATAACCTTCAGCTTCCAGTATCCTGCTTTGTTTTCATTCAGAACAGATTAATTCCCAACTCTTTACTTCCCAGAGACACAGTAATTTCTTCCATTTCCAAACCACCCAGAGCCATTAACTGTTGCATATGCAGATAGTGCCTATTCTAATGAGCTATCTCTGCATGCCAACCTCCTGTATTGCTATATCGGCTTTAGGGCAAGTTTTCTTTTTAAAAGCAGAACAAACAAAAACTAAAAACAAACCAATCAACAAAAAATAAAACCAAACCAAAACAACCCAACAAAAACTACCAGTGTATCAGGCACAGAAATAGGTCAGGCAAATTTTTTTACCTTCTCAATTCCAAAATAACGTTCATTTGATGTTAAGACCTATCTACGCACCACAATGTCCAATGTTAACAGCCAAGCTACAATATGCATACGTTCTTTTTTCCGCTTCTACAGGTGATATGATAGAACAGCAATTCACTAATTCTTCCATTAACAAACAAATGCATTTGAATTTTGCTATTTTGTTTGTCGGGAACCTTAGGCTAGATACAAATGAATAAACGGAAAAAAACACGCAGGTCTTGGAAAAAGACGACAGAATCCATTTTGGTGTAAGAGCCGGTTCCCCAACTTCTACACTCTTTAGTTTCCTGTGAAGCGACTTCCAAAGCCAGGAATGTGCATGAAATGACATCTTTTTTTTGCTTCTGTTCCCCTGAAGCCCTTCTGCCCCAAGATGTCTTCCCCGTCCCTTGAGGAACGCCGGGGCAGCGCGGGGCGCATTCCCGCACCTGTCGCAGCCCTGCCGCTCCCGCCACCGTCCTGGGCTACGCCACCGACAGGGTGCCCCGACACGGGCACGGAGAGCAGCCCGAGCGGGGCTGGCACCGAGGCACCGCACATCCTGGCCATGGAAGATAAAACGCACCACTGTGGCGCTTCAGAGAGCGCAGCCTTGCCGCTTTTGGAGGGAACCGCGGCAGAAAAGAGGACAGGGAAAGAGAAAGAACCTACTAGCCCCAGCACCGCTCCAGGGCGGCCGGCAGAACCGGAGCGGGGGGCTCGCAGCGGCAGCGCCGCGCTCCCCCGGCCGGGCAGCGCCGCAGCGCTCGCCCCCGCACACGGCAGCTCCCGCTCACCTTTCAGCGACCGGCTCAGCGCATCTTCCTCCCTCCCTCCTTCTCTCCCGCAGCGGCTGCTGGTGGCGGCCCGGAGCCCCCGGGCTCGGCGGGTGCCCAGCGCTGTTCCTCCCTCAGCCGGCGGCAGCTCCCGCTGTCACTTCACCCCCACATCCCGCCGCCGGCGGCGGCAGCTGCTGCTCCTAAATTCACGGCGCTCCGGCGGCATGAAGTCATCCTCCCCGCCCCCTCCACGGGCCGCCGCACTCCGCTCCCGCCGCGGAGGGGGAGACGGCCCCGCCGCCCGGCGGTCCGAGCCCCGCGGGGCCCTGGCTCTCCACCCGCCCCGGAGGGTCCGCCGCTCCCGCGGGAGCACCCGTGCCCGACTGCCCGGGAGCCTGCGAGGGGCGGTACCGTCTCCCGGGTGCGGTGGCGGTCCGGGGGACCCTCCCCAGGCACGGCGGCGGGATGGGCCGCTCCGCCCCGCGCCCGCCGTGCCCTCCCGGGACTCCCCTCCGCGGCAGCGGGCAGCGCGGCGCTCCCGCCCGGCGTGTGGGGCTGCGCGCCCCGCTCCGGCCCCGGTGTGGGCACCGCCCGGTGTGTGGGGCTGCGCGCCCCGCTCCGGCCCCAGTGTCGGCACTGCTCGGCCGTACCGCGCTGGGCGGCGGCGAACGCGAGGGGGCAGCTACCGCCGCGCTGCAAGGCCAGAGCCAAGGGAGAGCGTCGCCGGGCAGAGCTCTCTGTGTATCTGGGTCTCGCCGTTTGAAGGAAAAGGCGCTGTAATCCCTCGGGCTCATGGGTGGGCTCCCTGTTCCCACTCTCACCTCCCGGCCTCAGGACGCCCAAGCGCTCCTGACTCGTGCCCTAAAAAATGCAGCGCTCCCTGGGATGCAGGATAGCTCCTCTGGCAGTGGCTCCTGCTCTGTGCCTGGAAGGGGGAGCAGGCGACAGGCACTGTGCTGAGCTCAAGGTCACCTGGGCAAACTTCCCCCTTACCAAGGGCGTCCTGATATTTCTGAGACCCAGCAGTAGGCAGCATGTCTATTTTTGTTCCTTACAGAGAGCTGTGCACATACTGAGTGACCGACAGGCTTGTAAGGAAGGCCGGATTCCTATCACAGTTTACAATTCCATGACCCATCCCATGTGCACAACAAGCCCAGCTATGTTGGTGCATAAATGACACCAGGCAGTCTAGTGTGGATGTCACCAAATGCATGTCACCAGTGCATGCCAAATCATTGTAGTCTGAGAGCTCTTCATACCTTACCAGCAAGGCAGGGTTGTGTCTGGTCGAGAGAAGCTATGCTGGATGACCTCCCAGGAAAAACAAGCACAGGAGTTTCCCAGGTGCTGCACCTGCTCAGTTGACCCAGTGGTCAAGTGGTGCCTCAGCAAGGATTTGGAGTGAACTCGTGCTGGAAATGTTGATGATCTCCATTGTGGTAAGGTCTGAAACACGAAGAGCTGCTTCAGTGGCCTGGATATAGGTAGGAAGATTGTCTGTAGTGGTAGAGGAAAGCAGCAAAGAGAATTGTCATTAAGGTAAAGTTCTTAGTCTCTCAGATAAAATATAAAAACTCTGAACCTCAGTTCCCTTTTGGAAATTCATTGTGTTTATTGTTATGGTAGTTATGGTATGGCTTTTCACCTGTGCAGTTCTACAGTTGCTCTATTTTGGGCTGCTCCTGTTTACTCCCTGCTTTGAACCTCTTCTCTTGATTGGCATTGCAGACCTAAATGTGCAGCGCCGGCAGCATCTCAGCTGTGTTACTTAATCTCAGCTGACAGTGTGTTAGCTGCTGACAGTGTGTTTGGAGGCTCATCTCCACATGCACAGAGGAGTTTAGGGGCACTTGGGCAGGTGGGGGACCCAGGTCAGGTAAAGATAGCCCATTCCCAGCCCCTCCCAGGGAAGCCTCAGTTCCCATGGAGGCGGGGGACACACCCAGCACTCAACCAAAATCTGTGTGGGTGTTACTGCCTAGGGTTACATGATCTGCTGTGGAATGGATAGTGGAGCATTTTGGGATTAAGATTTATGAGATGTTTAGGGCAAGAACCAAAGACGGGGAAAGGAAGGGATCAAGGTGATATGGGAATGAGCACATGTGAGAAAGTATGGGATGAGGAGGTAAATAGGGCTAGTCTGGGGTAAACAAATTGCTGGTCAGACTGCTTGTCTGGCTATGCCCTGCACCTGATCAGTGCAGTCTCTCCTAGACTAGACTGTGTTTCTAAACCTTACTGTGTGAGAGGTCTCCCTGTGCTATATGTGTGCCTCTGCATGGGTGTAAGTGCCAGCAGCAGGAGTCACACCTCGGGTTACAGGGACTCATGCCAGAGAGGAGGGCAGGATTTCACCGTTCATGCCATCTGTGTTTGAGTGAGTGCTTCAGTCTGTGTTGATTTGTGTGGTTGGCCTTGGGCTTATTTATATATATATTTGTGTGTACATGCTTTCTCTGTGTGCATGGCTGTTAGGAATATGTGTTCAGACTTGCTGCTTACTAGGCCTAGGAAAACGTTGCTATGGCAGCCTCCCTTCTATTGGACTATATTGTTCAGCAACTCATAACACAATTCACTAAATGATTAGCATACTAGAAAATCCTAGATCTGTGCAAAAGCAGGAATTATTAGTATTTAATTTTTATTATTTCCTTGGTAGCAGTAAATTCCAGAGTCAAGAGAAGCAAAATGCTCTTGGCCCAAGGGTTTTAATTAGTATTATTCAACATACATGATTGCAAAAACAAGGCAAAGAGGGAGACACCTATAGGATTTTATTTTAGTAGAAAAAACACATAGATATTCATCATTTAGCAACATTCAAAAAGCCTGTTTTAGTGGGAAGATATAATCTTTGATTTAGCAATCATGGGTTCAAGCAGTTTAAAATGAATGTCAATATAAATTAATTGAATTGTAAGCATTTCAGCTTTAAAAAGTATGCTGTAGGGAAAATAAAAGGAAATAAAGAGCTCTCATTAATATCTGAATATGGGGAAAGTCTGGAAATGTCTTTAGTAAGTGAGAAGATTGTATAAGGAAGACTGCTTGTTTGCAAAGGCAGTGACTTCAAAGAGGATTACAGAAGTGTTAGGAGGAGAAAATTGTGTCTTAGAGGTTAGAAACAGCAAGGATGAGTTTTTTCAACATTCAAATTGAATTAGATTGTTAAAATAAATAATAAACAGCAAAAGGTGCATTGTAAAAATGTAAAGAAATCATGAAATGAAGCAGTTGAGCTCTTTATTTAAATGAGAAAGGGGTGAAAAATCAAGGCTCTCTTACTCAAAATGAGTACTGGCTTTCCTGATAATTGCTGACTGGAGTAAAAGGTGAAGCAAAAGAAAAACAATGAAGGGGAATAAATGAATCTATACAAATGGATGTTACTATTTTCACAGATTAAAATCAAGGGTTGTTCAAGTCAGAGGAATAAAGCTCCATCTAAATTTGTGAAGTCAGAGGTGCTGCCCCATTCTTGGAGATTGTCAGGTAGTACCAGTATTTATGAAATAAAAAGAGACACAGGAATTTACAGTTACATGGCTTAATTTGTGATAGCATGCAACACCACAGCCAGTAGTACAAAAACATAAGAAGATACAAGGACCCCTGCACACAGGCTTCTTTAAACTTTATACTCCTGAAACCAGAGAAAATTGGTTGTACTGAGTATAAAAAAAGAACTCTAATCTCCCATGCACTTTTATTTCTGCCTAAATAGCCTACTTCTTATGGACCTGCCTGTGTGGCAATTATTTATGGTGAGTTATATTCATGTCTTCCAAAATTCGGATTCTTTGGGAGTTTCTGCAGTGCAAGCCAATGTGCTGTTTCCTGAAGAGCAATAGAATATACTGCCAGTGTTATAAACAGCTATTTTAACTGTTATAACCAGCTTTTTTTGTCACTTTGCCAGAAGCTTTTTGTTTCCTTTTAATATTAAACTGAGTACTAATGTACACTTTAATAATAGGGTTTTTCTGAATATCCTCAGACTGCATTTAAATAAAAGCAAGACAATGAAAAAGCAGTTATTATGAATTTTTGCATTTTTAACATATCTAGGAAAAAATTTTACATAAATATTCAAAAAATGATTGAAAAAAATTGTCTCATGTCAACAGCAGTGTAGCTTAAGATACTGAGCATTATTTTATGGTTCCCATGGAGAATATAGTAGAGTTTAGTAGAGTACAGTAATATTCCTACTGGATATCAAAACAGTCTTACTCATGTTGAAATATAATGTAGGAGTGCACCATAAGAACCCTTAGTTACACCCCTTAATAAGTTAATATCCAGCTGATCCATCTGTTTATTTGAATTAATTTCAGATCCCACAAATAAAATTATGCACAAAATAAAAATTGCTATAGGCTTTCTACTGAGAAAAGACAGTATTTAAAAATCTTGATATTATAAGCATAGTGTCTGCAGATATTTTTTAAAAGCAAATAGATTAAGCTGTTTTTCCATGACCAGTTTCACTTACTCTTCTTTTCTTTATTTATTTTTTCTTTCCATTATGGCTTTATAAGCAGTTGAGTAAATTGAGTAAGTTAACACATTTTGTTCAATTGGTTGGGGTGTAATATATATGCCAAAAACAGTGACTCAAAAGTACTGTAATGAAGAAGAATATTGCAAGATGAACTGCAATGTCAGCAATACTCAAATAGACTTCTTTATAACTGAATCATTATCAAGAAAACATTTTTAAAGGAGTTCTCTATTTCTCCAATAATTTCCAAACCATTTGTAAGGGAATAATTTTTAAAGTAAATTCTGGTTGATCATTTAACAGCTAATAAAAGAATATTAATTAAAAAGCATTCAGTATATTATTTTCTAATTCTCAGCAATAGTAAATTTAAAGTAATATGATCTGGTTGTACGTAGTTTAGAATAACCAAATTCTGGATGCATTCTCTGCCAGTGTTTCTCAGTATCCTCCTCTTAATGCTAGTTGCTTATTTTCTTAGACTCAAACTTTCAAGGCAGGAACTGTCAAAGATTCGGTTTGTACAACATTGCTAGGCATGAGCAAAATCCATTGATAATAATTTATGGCACTTGACAATACTGTGAACTTTTGACTTGGATGCACAGGGCTCAGCTGCACCCAAAGTTACAAGTTTCTTCAGCTGACAGCAATGGTAGCTGTGTGTGCACAGGGGCAGAGCCTGGCCCTTGGCCTCCTTGACGTCAGTAGGAACAGATGTGTTCTCCTTTCTTTTCTCTTGGGGCTTCCAGCATTGTCTTATTACAAAGCAGTCTGAATT